AAACACATTGTGAATTCTGTCTGTGAATGCTGTGCTGAGCGGACAGCTCCTGAAGCTTTTGAGGTGTCGGAATGTGGAAAGCTAACAACGTCCCTCTCACCGGTAGGCAAAGTTATTTTTAGCCAATTACAAGTTGAATCTGGTAGTTGAGGTTGTTAGCTAAGATACTGTCACTGGAAAATTGTACTTAGTAGTCAGTATAAGCTTTAATGATATAAGTTTACATGTGATAGAATACTGCATGATGACCTTTTCCTTGCTTAGAACTGATCTTTATAAAACTTGTTCTGATATTTTTCTCTGAGTCTTCCCACAGCGATGAAAGAAGCTGAACAAGCAGTTCTGAGCTCTTACCAGGAAAAAGGGCTGCTTCCCACATTGCAACACACACACACACAATCACATACGCACATGCTCACGTATCAACATTCCACTGAACAAATGTATTCATTTTTCTTGTGTATAAATAAAGACAAGTGCGAGAACAGAGCGCTGATCACAGGGCCCCCACTCTCGTGTGAGCGCTCTGTGACCGCCCTGCAAGTAAAAACTACAGCGTGTGTGTGTCTTCACTCTTAGACTCTCAGCTGAAGAAGTGTCGTTTAGAATAAATCTCTTGACAGATACCGCCATTAAGAAGCGGCACAACTAATGTGTCTATGCGAGCTCATTTGCATTTTATTTTTTGATGCACCTTCTCAGATTAATTCTCTTCGTGTCGTGCCCAGGGCTGGACTGGGACAAAAAATCAGCCCGGGCATTTTGACTAAAGACCCCCAGGTATGATAGGAAAAGCCATAAAGAATGAAAAAAAGCCACTGTTGTGACAGTGATGTACAGTCTTGTAGGTATATGTATGATTTCTATACACTTTATATCAGATAAAAACTTTGGTTGTAAGATTCAGATAATTATTAAAAGAAAGCGAGACATTTTAAATGAGAATAAGAAAGAAAAGTATTTCTTTGTGCCCCCCCCCCTTTCCCTGTTAATGCCCTACATGGACCCCTGGCAACACTTTGCTAGATCCGCCCCTGCACAGTTACCAGCTGTCAGCTACTTAGAAAAGGATCCTGGTGTTATTTCTCAGAAACAGTTCATAACCTAACTGCTGTTGTTTAGCTCAACATCCGCTGGTTTCGTCTTTCTGATCAAAGTAGGAGATAAACAAACAAGAGAGAAAAGCTGATCAGCTGATCATTGATCAGTTTCATGATTGAAGTGACAACAGAAGAGGGAGGGGGAGAGAATGAGAGAGAAAGAGGCCCTGCAGCGTAAAGACCAGAATAACTCCAGCTTTGTGTCTTTTTGCATTCTAGCTGAAGTCTGGGACAAACTGTGTTTAATTCATGAAATGTGTACTTTCTCTGAATACGACACGATTCCGTTTTTTTACGGGACGGTTGGCAGCTCTACTAACTAACCTTATGAATAAAATAAGTTCACTATCAGTAACATCACAGCACCCACCCAGCTGTATAGAAACTCCATCATACTAGTTTTCATTGTTTATATCGTTACAAACAAAACAACAACAACAATAAAAACTAAAAATCAGTCCAGCTATGAGCGTGCCGGCATGCGTGCCCAGGGTTGCCAACCCCTGATTTAGTGTCTTCGTTGTCACGTTGTCTTTCATTCATGGTTGTGTGTTTCTTCGAGTATTTTCTAGTCTAGTTTTGTATCACCAGTCAGCAAATAAAGCTTGTTTTTGAGTTTATATTTTGTTCCTGAAAGTCTGAATTTGGGTCCTTTCCTGCCTGCCCACAGCCGCTCCATGACACATAAGATAATAGTTGAACCAGACAAGGTAGTGTGCTGGGGGAAGCAGATGGCTGCTGAATGCCACAGAATTCTTAAGAATAAGAGAAAACTCAGGTCAAATAGTAAAACATGGAACATGAGCAGGAGGCAGACGGTTCAGCGCCTTTTATCATTATTTCATCATTCTTGAAGCAGAGTTCCTGCTTGTAACTGTCATTGTGTTATTAAAGTGGAAAGCCACAGCTAACGGTGTGGAGGCTGCAGAGCAGAAACCCACACAGCCCGTCTGCTGCAGGAGAGCAAGTTTTGATTGGCTGTCAACATCTTTTTTTCTCTCTTCTAATAACCACTGAGAACAGATTCATATCTGAAGCTGCACGCTCATCAACTCTCCTCCCTCTTTGTACTTTAGATTTTCTGTTGTTGTCGGTAAACCTTTTTCCCCACTGAGCCCTCCACCCACACACAGCTGAACTCAGTACAATCACCCACCTGAATCTAGGTCTTAAAATGACACAGAGGAGTTTCTTTAAAAATCAGATGTTAGTATTGTTAATATCTGTCAGGACGGTTAGAGGAGCATCGTCATTAAAAATGTTGTCACTGTCACATCAACTCAAACTTGTTTTGTATCAGTGCAGCAGTCTATTTAGAAAAACAACGTTTATTGTTATTTTTCAGAAAGTCAAGCGCACGCGTATACAATATTAACACATGAAGAGAGAAATTCATTTTTAGTCATATTCCTGTTTCCTGCTCATCATGGCCTGTTGTGAGCGAAAACTTAACATTGTTCTCAGACGCACAAACATCAGAATCGATGTCAAACATGAGAAGCAAAGTCTAAACAGTTCTGGCAAACAATGATCAGCAGAGAGAGCCCACAGCAGCGACCGTGGCTCAGGGGGTTGGGAATCGCATCTGTAACCGGAAGGTTGCTGGTTCGATCCCCGGGCTCTCTGTCCTGGTCGTTGTGTCCTTGGGCAAGACACTTTACCCTACCGCCTACTGGTGTTGGCCAGAGGGGCCGATGGCGCGATATGGCAGCCTCGCTTCTGTCAGTCTGCCCCAGGGCAGCTGTGGCTACAACTGTAGCCTCCACCAGTGTGTGAATGAATAGTGGTATTTTAAAGCGTTTTGGTTGCCTTGAAAAGCACTATATAAATCCAATCCATTATTATTATTATTATTTGTAAAAACCAAGCCAGCAGAGATTCTGCTGGAAACACAGTCGACTGCAGCTTTTTGTCACTTCCACATGCAGCCTCCTGCTCTCCTCCACTTCCAGGTGAAGTGAAATTCATCTTCAACCAGCTGTCTGGATCTCTTTGGACTTCCTGTGACTCACCACAGGATGGCGCTCCTTCTCCTTGAGTCTTCATTTTAAACTTTATGCTGTGAAGAAAATGCCTTTAGTCAGACGGCAGTCTTATCTGTGGGCTGCAGGGATTAATAGGGCTTCATGGTCTCTCCTTTGATTCCATTAAAGTTCATTTGTCAGCTGTGAGTTGAGGATTTGAGCTGTTTCTCTCACAGGTGAAGAACACAGATCCTTCCTGGAATCATTCTTGAAGCAGAGTTCCTGCTTGTAACTGTCATTGTGTTATTAAAGTGAAAGCCACAGCTAACGGTGTGGAGGCTGCAGAGCAGAAACCCACACAGCCCGTCTGCTGCAGGAGAGCAAGTTTGGATACAGTCAGTTTGTGCTTCACTCACACGGCTTGTTGTTGATCACACAATGAAAGTAGAATCAAACTCTTCATCTTCAAATCTTTATTGTTCACACAAACACAACTACACTGTTATTGCTGTTTGTTCATAGCTGGACTGGCCCGGTATGCCCGATGGCGATTTTTTGTTTTTATGGGCCGATCGATTTTTTTTTTTTTTTTGGAAGGGTATAAATAATGAAAGGTGTTGGATTGGCCAATTGGTCATGATCGACTCTGGGCTGGACCAATTACAGCCGAGGAGGTCGGATGCACCCTCCCCCTTGTTTAGCAATCTTATAGACCATAGGTGTCAAACTCTGGCCCGCGGGCCAAATTTGGCCCACAGCCTAATTACATTTGGCCCGCGAAGCCAATCCTAAATTACTATTAGAGCTGTCAAAGGAGCTTGCAAAGAAAAGCGTCTGGACTTCTTTAAGTTGCTTGAAGACGTTTCACCTCTCATCCGAGAAGCTTCTTCAGTTCTAAGGTCAAATGGTGGAGAGTCCCAGATTTAAACCTAGTGGGAGTTTCCCCCCACAGAGGGACAAAAGGACCCCCTGATGATCCTCTAATCACCTGAGCCAAGCTGTGAAACTGGGTGTGGGTCCCAATCAGCCAGAGTTTCGGGTGAGTTCATTGTGTTCCAGGCATGTCCCACCGGGAGGAGGCCCCGGGGCAGACCCAGGACACGCTGGAGAGATTATATCTCTCGGCTGGCCTGGGAACGCCTTGGTATTCCCCCGGATAAGCTGGAGGAGGTGGCTGGGGAGAGGGAGGTCTGGGCCTCTTTGCTTAGGCTGCTGCCCCCGCGACCCGGCCTCGGATAAAGCGGATGAAGATGGATGGTCTCTACTGTTGTTTACTGGGTGCAGCTGGATTGGGAGAGGGTCGCCATGGCCATGAGCCAGGGCCGCTTCTGGGACCATTGTTCTGGCCCCTATTTTTGTTATTTTACAGGAAACCGACGCAAGGGGAGCTGTGGCGGTGGTCGCATGATGGATTCGGGTGCAGAACACAAGCTGGGCTGGGAAGTGATGGGCCAGCGGAAGGACAAGAAGATGGGAGGCTCTTTCTTGTCTGCCGAAGACGAGGCTGGTGTGGACTCTGCTCTAAAGAAGGAATTCCTGGCCTGCTGATGGACCCATAATGAACATGTGGCATAATTATAGCAGGGGGGGTTTAGTGAATGTAGAAAATGGTAGTTTTACGGGTTTTAGAATTGTTTTATTTAGTTTTAGTAGATTGACAACATTTTATTACGTACATTTTAAGGGTGTTTTTATTTGTGCTCTCTGGCCTAGTAATAAACTGTTTCTGATCAGACCTGCTTCCTCTCTGTGGCCGTGGTATCTGACTCGCTTGCTCCCCCTTGTATTTTAAAGAATCTTTCTTTTTAGCGTGACATTCCGGCGCGACCGCTTTAGTGTCGCCGCGTGTTACATATACAAGTATAAAAGAATAGCTTAAGTGTTTTGTCTTTAACATTTTAGTATGAACTTGTACAAAATGCAGCAAGACATTAAAATCTGTTTTATTGAATATAAAATAGACTGTATCAGATTCACATGGATGCTGGCAGATATCCAAATTTATGACATCGTACCGGACATAAAAAAGTGTTATCACGCCATCTCTAATATGGATATGCTTCACTCCCTGTTTCATTCAGTTTATACCATTTGGTCTTCAATTAGGCTCCATCAGAACATTTTCACAAGAACTTTCATTTCAGCATAATCCCTTTGATTTGGGTTGTATAGAAATACTTTTTAACTCAGTTTCATGGTCACAATATACTCAATACAATTTATTTTTATTAAATCATATATTTGTAAAGTCAGACATCGTTTGGCTTCTCCACGTCTTTCATTCTCTCCCATCTTTCCACACATGCCAAGCTCTCAGCTTCAGGCCTGTTTTTAGAATAATCATTAGAAATTATATTTTCTTCTTATTATTAGTTTTTTTAATATCGGTTAAACTTATACCAGGTTATATTTTTATCAGTATCAAGCAATTAAGCACAATTAACCATCAGTAAAACCACATAAATTGTGATTCTGTGTTTAATCATTAATACACTTGATACCTCTTAGTCAAAAACATGTATAATCATGTGTTGGTGACACGTTTCTTATCTTCCACATTCCTGCAGACACAGAACTGCCGAGGTTGAAGCTGGATCATGTGCACACACACATAACATTCAGACATTAGAACAGCCATTTTCACTATTAACATATTAAGCAAAATTATACTTTAATTTATCTTTGAATAAGAATTAAGATCCTTTGCCATTAGCAAATGTGGAAAAGCTCTATTTTAACACTCTGATCATTTTGGATATTGGGGAGGACACAGGCGCAGACAGTACAGGTTTTATTTACAATATATATACATGTGGAGGGGAATCCGGGGTTCCACAGGTCCAGGAAAAGGAAAGTTCAGGAAAAGTGAAGGTTCTCTCACACTCACACTCCACCTCACGATTCTACACACCCAATCATTCATGTCCCAAGCAGCAGGTAGGTCACAGGTCCAGGGAAAAGTGTCTCGCACAATCATCCAGTGATGAGAGGATCTGCGTCCTGGCCTTAAATGGCAAACACAACAGCAGCGTAATGGGAGACAGGTGCGTGAAGCCCACAGTGAGCTCCGCCCAGTCAGAATGACGAGGAAAAGAGAGAGCAAAACAATAAACACATGTGGCCTTGTGGGACCAGCCAGGCAGACACAGGGACCACGACAGATTACACTGATTACACTACCCTGCTACAGATAGACGATACAGTGCCAACGTCACAAACACAGAGTTGGTTGGAGTCACACTCATACAGACACTTGGACACCAAAAAGAACAACATACAGGAAGAAATACCTACAAGCTTTTGTATCAGTCCCTTCAAACATTTTACTAAAAACCAGAACGACTTCAGTATCTGTAACGAATTTGGGCTGTTTCATCAACGACTACATTTGTAGGCAAATCAACATCAGAATTCACACTTTTGTGAAACCTCAGATCAACAGAACCACTGATCTGAAATCAGCTCTCACCTTTCACAGTAACCTGAACAGTAGCTTCAATCATGCCCAGACTAGACATGGCCACACATGTGTAGTTAGCTGATTCTTGAATGTTGGTGAGCTCCAGCACACTGCGCCCTAATGGCATCTCGTCTTCTTTGGACAGGTCCACCAAGCCCATGGTCCACTTGATATATGGCATTGGTGAGCCCACTGCTACACATGTTAGACTGACACTGCTGCCTGCCATCACTTCCTGGTTGGAGGGTAAAACGGAGAATCTGGGCGGGACTCTTCGTACTAACGAAATAAAAAGAAAAAGGAATATGTGAGGTCATTATAATGCTTTTTGTGACGTTATGAATAGTTACGCCCATACAGCATCTTGAGGGCAAAGACTGACTCAGAACAGCTGACAGAATGCAGGGCTGATTGCTTCTGTCCAGATGTGCAGACAAGCACAAAGAGAATAATGGAATAACATAACAAGCACATTTAAAGCAGGTCTCACAGCAGAGTGTGTTATTGGTGGGCGTGAGAACAGTGTTTGATCACTCATCCATAAAACAGCCTCTATGATACACGACTGTATGCTTTTAACGAAATCATGAAATGTTAGCCGAGCCCATCTCTTTCTTACCAAAACACTAATAAGCATTTTATAAGTATAATGAGTGATTTGTCTCCCTGTGTCAGGGGCAGCTGGAGTTATACGAGAAGATGCCGTTAAAACACTGTCTGCACATTCCCATAGTAGGGCTTAAATCAAACCATGAGGGGCGAGGGTTTAAAGAGTTGTGTGATTTCATGAGATATCACAATGACCTTATTGATTAACTCCACAAATGAGAGAAACATTTTACCTCGTACGTAGAGATTGGCGGGACCAGAGTAACGCACACCAAGGCTGTTTGTGGCGACACATTCATATTTCCCCTGATCCGACTCCTCACTGTTCTCAATTTGCAGCGCTCCTGTGTAGAGAATTAGTGAATTGAGCTGTTTGATAGTGACTTGCTAGAGAGTCAGTAGCCAACTGTAACCCAGTATAACCCAGTTCATGATCAGACAGGATTACAGGTTTGGCAATAAAATACTTAAAGCAATACAAACATCCAGCAGATCAGGAAATATAAAACATGTCTTCTTCACCTTTCTTTGTTAAGAGATAGTTCATTGCAATGAAGCTGCATTTAAGAAAGAAAAAAAAACCTTTCATGTGCTCTCATTTTCCCCAACATGAATTTCTGAAAGCCAGTGATTGTTTTGGAAGCGCTGTTTTAATTTTCATTAAACATTAATGTATGTAGTGTTTCTGTAATGTTTGAATCCAGTTTGTGCACCCTCCCAGTCCAGCAAGAAGAGAGGATGTGTGCTTCTGAAATATCTTTGGCTGCAGACACTCGTGCTGAGGAAACAGACTGTATGCAGATCCATCCATTTCAGTTTACAGTGAGTCTGCTCACACCTACAGACTAACCTCATACTGCATAGCGTGAACTTTCCATTAATGTGACAACGTGAAGATGGAGGCTTCATGACTGAAAGAGCCTCTGGTCAGTTTTCTCTTCTAACTCAGCACCAATCTGAACTTGTCACGGTCCTGAGTTATTATTTTTATTAATCTGTGACTTCATGCGTTTTCATTACTAATGTTTTGGTTTCTGTTTTAGTGCTCTAGTCCTTCTTTGATCTGTTAAGTCTAGTTCTTAGGTTTCATTCTGGCGCCTCCATGTTTAGTGTGGGTTTAGTTCTGTCCTCACCTTTGTTCTTGTTCCCCAGTCAGTCGTCTCTCATGTTGCTCCTGTCCCTGTACTCAGTGTTCCCTCTGTGCGGTGTCTAGTGTGGGCCTCTGTGTCTGTCGTGTACTTCCTGTTTTATTTTGACAGTCCTGCTTTATGTTCGGCCTCTGTTCCCCATCTCGTCTGTGTAATTAGTCCCAGCTGTGTTTCCCTTCTCCTTTTCAGACACACACTTTAGTAACAGTGTGTGTGTGTGTGTGTGTGTGTGTGTGTGTGTTAGAGAGTCAACAAAGAAACAAGTCTTTTATACATGTGGAAAATGTTGTGTGGAGTGACTCAGAGTTGGCAAAAATACAGACTGTGAAGGTTCTCAGTCATCCAGGTCATCGTAGTCTAAGGAGCTTGGAAAGAAAAGCGTCTGGACTTCTTTGAGTTGCTTGAAGACGTTTCACCTCTCATCCGAGAAGCTTCTTCAGTTCTAAGGTCAAATGATGGGGAGTCCCAGATTTAAACCCAGTGGGAGTTTCCCCCCAAAGAAGGACAAAAGGACCCCATGATGATCCTCTACCTTATCACATGAGCCAAGGTGTGAAAACGGGTGTGGGTCACAATCAGCCAGGGTTTCGGGTAAGCTCATTGTGAAACCTGGCCCCACCCTATCATGTGATTTCCTGAGGGTGTGGCCCTGCTGGCGGACTGGCCACACCCGAAGCCACACACCTGCTGCTGATCAGGCCTCGTCGGGGTAGCTACTTAAGATAGTCTTACAGCTCACCGACGCGGGATCATTTCGTGAGACTTCCCGTCAGTTCTTCAGCTGGTCTGTTTGTGAGTGTGAGCTTACCCAGTGAACTGAGGGTACTAACTACTGCCTCTATTTTCCCAGGAAGGATTGCTGGACGACAGGGCAGCAGACACAGAGTGCACTGGCATGAGGGAGCAGACACATGAGCACAAACACTGGGAGAAGACACAGAGTGGAAGTCGAGAGCACACGGGGATGTATTATTGTTGTGTATCAGTTCCATCACTGTAAATAAACGCACTGCTTGTACATAGAGCACCGCGCCTGGGTCCTCCTTCCCCACACCCCCCACAGTTTGCCATGCCGAACCGTGACAGTAGCTCAGCCACTTACAACATTTCGAAACACCTTGCTACCGTCCTAGCACCTCTTGTGGGGAACACCCCACATCACATCAAGAACTCCACCGACTTCACCGACAAGGTCCAGAAGCTTACCCTGGACCCAGATGAAACCATGGTGTCCTTTGATGTAGTCTCTCTCTTCCACCACGGAGGCAGTGGAGACTGTCAGAAAACGACTACAAGAAGACAGCTCCTTGGAGGACAGGACCAACTTCACACCCGATCAGATTTGCACACTGTTAGACCTCTGCCTCACCACAACATACTTCAAATACAACAAAGGCTTCTACAGACAAAAACATGGCTGTGCCATGGGCTCCCCCGTGTCACCTATTGTAGCCAACCTTTATATGGAAGAAGTGGAAAGAAAGGCTCTTGGCTCTTTCAAAGGAAGAGTACACAGCCACTGGTACAGATATGTAGACGACACCTGGGTCAAAATCAAAAGACAAATAGTGGAATCCTTCACTGCGCACATTAACGCCGTGGATAAAAACTGTTTGCCTTTCCTGGACTGCGCTGTGCTCATTGAGGAGAATGGCAACCTCAACATCGAAGTTTACTGGAAGCCCACACACACAGACCAGTACCTCCTCTTTGACTCCCATCAACTTGGAGTAATCAGGACCCTACACCACCAGGCAGAACATGTTCCCTCTAAGCCTGAAGGGAAAAAGAAGGAACACACACATGTAAAGGAAGGACTCAAAACGTGCGGCTATCCTAAATGGGCGTTCTTAAAGTCAGCAAAGAGGCACAGAAAAGAAGATCAGACACCAGCGAGGGAGGATAAGAAGGACAGACGCAACAACATTGTCATCCCCTATGTAGCCGGTGTATCAGAAAAACTCAGGAGAGTTTTCTTCAAGCATGACATCCCAGTGTACTTCAGATCCAGCAACACACTCAGACAAAAACTGGTTCACCCGAAAGACAAAACGCCAAAACACAGACTTAACAATGTGGTGTATGCTGTACAGTGCAGCGAGGAATGCCCAGACCTCTACATCGGAGAGACCAAACAGCCACTTCACAAGCACATGGCACAACATAGAAGAGCCACCTCCACAGGACAAGACTCAGCAGTCCATCTGCATCTTAAGGACAAAGGTCACTCTTTCGAGGATGCCAATGTTCACATTTTGGACAGAGAGGACAGATGGTTTGAAAGAGGAGTGAAAGAAGCATCTATGTCCACTGTGAGCGACCATCTTTGAACAGAGGCGGGGCTTACGACACCAACTGTCTGCCATCTATAATCCAGTTTTGAGATCCCTCTCCAGACGCCTTAAAACCCACTCACATCCTGGGCCATCTGACCTCAGGAAATCACATGATAAGGTGGGGCCAGGTTTCACAATGAACTCACCCGAAACCCTGGCTGACTGTGACCCACACCCATTTTCACACCTTGGCTCATGTGATTAGGTAGAGGATCATCATTGGGTCCTTTTGTCCCTCTGTGGGGGGAAACTCCCACTGGGTTTAAATCTGGGACTCCCCATCATTTGACCTTAGAACTGAAGAAGCTTCTCGGATGAGAGGGGAAACATCTTCAAGCAACTTAAAGAAGTCCAGACGCTTTTCTTTCCAAGCTCCTTAGACCAAAAATACAGACATTCTTTACTTAAGTAGAAGTACAAATACTACTTTTAAAAACTACTCCAGTAAAGTACTGGTTCAACTTCTTTACTCTAGTAAAGGTGCAGGCTCTGAGATGTACTCAAAGTAATAAAGTAAAAACTATCTCTTTGAATCAGAATGTCTTTATCGTCGTTGTTGCAGGTACAAAGAAATTAAAAGTGGTCCCCAATCAGTGCATGATCCATAGAAATATGAAAATATAAATAAAAACAATAAAACTGATTAAAAATCAATAAATAAATCCCTAATAAGAATAGTATGAGCAAACATTCACATACACCTCCACACACACATGCCTCAGTCAGTGCATAGATCATTTCAAGAATGGCGTGATGGACATTTTTTAGTAACAGCATTCAGACGTGTTATTGTGGTTGGAAAAAGCTGTGTTTGAGTCTGTTTTTCCTTGCACTGATTGCTCTGTCCCGTTTCCACGAGGGCAAAGTAGGGTGTGAGGTATCTATTATATTGATCTGAGTTTTTTTAAGACAGCGGGTGTTGTGTAGATCTTCCAGCGTGGCGAGAGGGCAGCCAGTGATCCTTTGCGCGCTGTTAATGATCCCTTGGACTGCTTTCCTCTGAGCCACTGTGCAGCTAGTGTACCACATGCATATGCAATAGGTTAGTACACTCTGGATGGTGGCTCTGTTGGAGGACGTTTCTATTTTTGTGCAAAGCTAACTGAACCTTGTGCTATATTAACATAATAATAAAATAATATTAGAATATGGGAACACAAATTTTTGTCTATAAAGACACATCTCCTGGATGCACTGGTACGCATCTTCAGTGATGTATCCTAGGGTCATCAGGTGTTTCGGGTCTCACAACATCATACACCCTCGCCCAGGCGACCCAGCCGGGGGTGATCAAGCCCCGACTTGCGTACCAGTAGCTACCCACGGATCAGCCCTCTTGATCCACAGCCACCTTGTGGCTTTCTCTGCCGCTTCACTCACAGCCTGGATGGCCCTCTTCTTGGCTGCCCCAGCCACGCCCAGCCGCCCTAGGGCTTTGCAGAGTGATCGTCCTGCAAAGCCCCTACAACCCACTTCTATGGGCTCATAGAAAGTCTTCCAGCCCCTTCCCCTGCACTCCTGCACTAGTTCCTGGTACTTTCCTCGTTTCCTTTCATTGGCCTCCTCAATCCGCTCTTCCCAGGGCACTGTGAGTTCCAGCATGATCAGCTGTTTTGAGGCCTCAGAAATAATTATCATGTCTGGCCGGAGTGATGTTTTTGCAATGTTCTGAGGGAACTTTAGTTGTTTACCCAGGTCAGCCTGTAGCTGCCAATCAGAGGCTGTGTTGAGGAGGCCAGTTGACAAATGTGGGCGCACCTGGGGTTTCTCTCCAGCCTTAATAAAAGAGATTGCCTTCCTCGGAGCATGATGATGCTTGCTGGTGCTGATTGCTGAGGCAATCTTTTCAGCAACTACTCTGAGCACCTGGTCGTGCCGCCAACGATACCGACCATCGGCCAGGGCCCTTGGGCAGCTGCTAAGGAGGTGTTCTAGGGTCCCTCTTCCAGAGCACAGGGGACAGGCAGGTGTCTCGCTCTTTCCCCACAGATGGAGGTTTGCTGGGCTTGGCAGAGTGTCGTATACTGCCTGCACTAGGAATCGGATCCGGTGGAAGTCTGCCTGCATGATGTTTGCCCAGGTGACCTTGCGCTGCAAGGTGCTCTCCCACCTTGTCCATGCTCCCTGCCGCTTAAGGCCTACAGCTCTACTTACTCGCTCCTCCTCCACACCTGCTCGGACCTCTTCCTGGAGTAGCTGGCGTCTCTCCTTTCCCTGTGCCCTGCTGACCTGGGCCTTTGGGACATACCCCAAGCCTGCTCCCCCTGTTGCTAAGACCCCCATCAGTGTTTTCTGCCTTAGGCGTGACTCCGCCACCTCAACTGCCTTCTCAGCCTTCCACTTTCTTCCTGTCCTTACCTCAATACCTGCTAATGCCACCTTGCAGTCTTTAGAATCTCTGTACTGTAGGGCTTCTCGTGTGCGAGCCACCTTGAACTCTTCTGTGAGACCACTGAAGGGTAACTGCACGCTGTTGCTTGTCCCATACAAGGCAGCGCTGGTGAGACTGCGGGGAAGTCCCAGCCACTTACGAAGAAAGCCACTGATCTTTCTTTCAAGGGATTCCACAGTAGTTATTGGAACTGTATAGACAAGCAAGGGCCACAGGATTCGGGGCAGGATTGAATGCTGGTAGATCCAGGCTTTAAATCTTCCAGGCAGGCCGGACTTATCCACCTTAATAAGCCACGCTCCCAGCTCCTCATTTGCCTTCTGAATAGCAGTAGAGTCTTTCAGGCTGGAGTCAAAGAGTTTCCCCAAGCTCTTAACTGGTTGTTCCGTTATGGATGGAATAATGGTTCCTGAAATTGAGAACCGGAACTTGTCCGTCACCTTGCCCTTCTTCAGTACCATCGATCTTGACTTGGAAGGTTTAAAACTCATCCTTGCCCATGAGATGAGTCTCTCAAGACCTTGCAAGATCCACCTACACCCGGGAACTGATGATGTTGTAATGGTGAGGTCATCCATATAGGCTCTGATAGGGGGCTGACGAACACCTGACCTTGTTAACGGCCCTCTGCACTCCACCTCCGCAGCCTTTACCACCATGTTCATTGCCAGGGCAAAGAGCGTAACTGAGATGGTACAGCCTGTTATTATACCTTTCCCGAGTCGGTGCCAGTCTGAAGTAACTGCCCTAGAAGTGACCCTAAGCCTGAAATTGGCGTAATAGTCCAGGATCAGGTCCTTGATCTTGCTGGGAACATGGTGGAGGTGTAAAGCATGCTCAACCAGTTTGTGTGGGATCGACCCATACGCATTAGTCAGGTCCAGCCACAATACAGCTAGGTCGCCTCTGTTCTCATGGGCTTCTCTTATAAGGTGTGTAACTACACCAGTGTGCTCTAGGCAACATTTTTGTGCAAAGCTTCTTTTAATTCTAATTATACTCGGCTTGAATCTGGAGAAAAAGAAGAAAAATTTATATCTCTATCTTCTGTTGCCTCCATTGTACAGGGGGCTGTGACTATAAACAGGAAAATGATTCGGGAAGAGGTTAAAGTGGATTCAGCAGGTGGGGGAAACCTAGAATCAGCTGTAGTGGCTCAGCGTGGGGAAAAGAATCATAACTCAGTCATTCGATTGAGAGGTCCAGTAGATTTTCTTAGTGTGCAGCTGACCTGCTGCTGTGGACGTACACAGCTGAATTCAACCAGATGTCAGCAGATGTTTCATGAGTTGGCTGATTTCATCCTGTACACTGACAGTACGCTGTTTATGCTGTCTGTTTTCTAGATTGTATAAAGTTTCTATGAAGGTGAATGAATCTCAATCTCTGGATGACATAATGACATCAGTTGAACTCATGAATGAATCAAACAATGTCTGAAAATGCTGCTTATAACTGTGGAAACTTGAACTGCATTGGTGGCACAAAAGCCTGATCAACTTCCAGCTTGAATCTTTTCCATCAGGTGAAAATGTCTTTATCTGTATATCTGTAAGGTTACAGACGCAGTCATCGCTGTCAAAGACTGCGGGAAACGTTATTCCAACATCCGCGTTACTTTTAAAGTGGCAGCTGTCCTGATTTGACCAATAAAATTCACAAAAAGAATTCATGCAAATAATCAAAGTGAACTTAAATAAAACATTCATGCCTTTAATGGTGAAAGTGAATAAAAGAAATGGTACGGGAACAAAGATCTGAAAGCTGCTTTGCAACATTCTCAGTATGCCACGCAAATTAAAACCTTAGAGATATTAAATCAGATCATTTTAAAGTCTACCTGAGCGAAGCTGTTTGAGGCACCCGTCGCTGCTGCTGATATTCACAGGAAGCATGTCCTTGAACCACGAGATCTCTGGGTCTGGGTTTCCACTGGCAGAGCACAGCATTGTGGCAGTTCTGCTTTTTTCAACAACTTTAAGCTCGGGGCCCAAATCAATGGAGGGAAAGCCATGGGGGATGTTGTTCTCTGAAAAATTGCAAAAGGCAGGTTTAGTACAACCACAGACCCTGAGAGCACCACAGACAGACTGATAATCACTGTTGTGATCACAAGTCGATAAACTGTAGTGAGAGGAGCTGACTGCAGCAAATATGTTGAGCTGGTAAAGACAAAGGCAGCAAATATATTTCAGATGCCACAAAATTAGTGCAAGAGCAGAAGATACCAAAGAGTGATACTTTAGATCTGCTGCTCTTTGTGATGAGGTTGGAAAGTAGAATTGTGTTTGTAACTGATGATAATGGTGAGTTATTAACAACACAAGGAGTCTGAAGTTTAGACAGAAGAAGGATCATTTCAGTCTGCCTCTGATGCATACAAAGCTGCCTTAGGCTTACAGTACAGTAACTAACCAATAAGCCATCTTATGATAACCAACGTAACAGAACAACAGAATACAGAACTTAAACCAAAATTTATGATTCACGTTTTTTTCCCTAAAACACTGACCCTGAACTGATATTCTACTCTTTTAGTCCCTCTTTAAACTCTGGCACTCTCCTGTTTTTTTCTGGTGTTTGTTTGTTTGTTTGGGGGGTTGTATTTCTTATATTTTATAGAAGACATTTTTAAAAATGTCTTCTAAAAGAAATTCTCCTGCTATTCTCCTTATTAAATGTGAGAAAACCACCATGGAAATCTGCATCTGTAAATCTGTAATTGTAATATGTTTGTCTGAAATAGGTCTCTCTTGTAAATGATGCACTGAGTCTCAATGTGACCTGTAAACATAAATGTAAGTAAATAAAATAAAACATTTGGTCTTCATTGAATCTGACAATCACTGTATTTCATTGATGTCAGTGGAAACCATAATCATTAGGTTTTCATTTATATTGTTACATTAGGATATATCAGCTCCGTTGTGACACTGCTAATACCAGATAGATTTTGGAGCTGTTGCATGAATGAATATTTGCTTTTGGGGGGAAAAAAAGTATAAAATCTTAAAAAATCCTAAAATCTTAAAAAAAAAAACAGGATCCATTTTTACCTTCCAGCACTTCAAGTCTGGCACTGACGTTGACCTCGCCTGCGCTATTGCTGGCGATGCACTTGTAAATGGCTGCATCTCTGTATACGCGCAGCGGCTGGATCCGCAGCACCGACCCCAAACCTCCATCAAATTCAATCACCTAGAAGAGCCACAGTAAACGGGAGGAGAGTTATTTTTCAAGGCTTCTTTTTCTTTTAGACAACGTTGGCTTCATTACAAGATTTCAATAAAATCCAGTCGTCCTTGCAGACTACACAGAGCTTTGTCTTTCTTATGTCAAATAATTAAATAAATGTTTATAATAAATAAATAAAGAGCGTGATTCACTGTGGGGGCTCTGTGAATTCGTTTTTATGCTTAGCAATGTTAGAGTCATGCATCAGCACCCACCTCAAATCACTGGCTGCTGACCTTCTTGCCTATCTTGAACCAGGTGATTCTGGGTTTTGGCTCTCCTCTGGCCTGGCACACAAATGAAGCAACTCCACCCGAGATGCCCGTCTGATTCACAGGAAATGTGATGAAACTTGGAGGGCCTGATGAAGATGATGTGACAGGACAAATAAGTTACTGACATGGAGATTCAGAGTGATGGGAGACCTTGTCTGTGGGTGTCCCTATTCTCCACACACAGGACACCTGAGAAAACCCAGAGAAGCGCTGCTGCTTCACCTGCAGCTCAGTCATGAGACACACGTCCGGTCTGTGTGTTAGTGTCACATTCTTGTCTTTGTTTTGACACAGTGTTTAAACCAAAACAAAGTTTAACATTAAACTTTTTAACATTAAAAATGTTTTGTATAAAGATGAAACACAATTTTGTGTGATCAGGTAACTGACTGAGCATCTCCCAAAATTAGGAAAAGGCCACTACTATGTTATAATGCTGCACTATCTCAGAGACACCTCCAGCTCTTTAGAGTTTTACAGGACATCATGACTGTGCACATGACAACACAGTCTGTGATTCATTGTCTGTGATGCTCCTGTTGTCCTGCAGCAATGCTGAAACCAGGACAGTGTAGAATGTTTGAGTGAGTGCTCTGCTGCAGAGCTCTCTAAGTTCATTTTGAAAGCTTTTACCTTAAATGCTTACACTGAGCTTCAGCCAGAGGCTTACCTTGGCTTTTCTGCAAGTTAAAAGCCAGACTGAAAAAGAAATCAAAACAGAAATAGGAAAAAACACAACGAAAAGGAACAAAAACTGAAGTGTTTCTGGGGACACAATAACCTGACGGACCAGACCTGGACATGACAAACTAACAGTAAATGGCTAATAGCAAGCATGTATATGTGCATTATATGAATCATGTGATTAATATACACATTACTTTGAACCTTTTCTCCTCATAACACTAATGAACAGTCTTCTTCTCCTCAACGAGTCTCAGTGCGGTCCTTTGTATGTTTTGGTGCCAGTTCAGGGTCTGCCGGTTTATAGACCTGGTCCTCGAAGACCACGAAGGCCAGAAGTGAGAGGCTGTGAAATCGGGCAATCTAGCCCATAATGCGCTGCCCAGTGTGCCTAGCAACACATCATCAACTAGAAACATTTAAAATTGCATTGTTTGATAGAAATGAAGGAGAAAATCTTAATTTGATCTTATTTTTCATTTGCTTTGATTTCCCACTGGTATTTGATGTATCTGAGGCCGACAGACAGTCATTTTAAGATTAGCTAGTAAACAGTGCGCTAATATACTTCATGAGACAAACGACCAACAAACTTCGGTATTATAATGTAAATGTTTGTCCAAAATGTCATTTATTGTATTATTAAATTTAATTTATTTAATTTAAAAAACTACAACAGTGAAATTTAACAGGAAACAATCAAGGTGAAATTATTTCTATTTCATATTAATTTAAGTTTTGATCTCAAAGACAAATATTTCTACATCACTACATTTAACTGAGAGCTGACTTATACAAGCACAAAGACAACTCGTGTATGCACATACATCCATTATGTGTCTTTATTAAATAAAATGCTGAGCTGTTTGATTTTATCCATAAATTAAATGATTATTGAAAAAACAATGAATGAATGTTGATATTTTAAAACTTGAAGCACCATCCAAATGCAGGTCACACAGGTCCCTCTGACACACACAGAGCATGTGTGACATGTGACCGTAGAAGAGCAGAATGACACAGCGTGAGGTCAAAGGTCGCAGTGAAGTTGTTCTGGAGTTTTATGGGCTGAAAATGTGTTCATAAATATTTTGTACTTGTAAACCGGTTTTGTATGTGTAAAAAAGATTTGTGTGTGGACTTAGCCAAAAAAAACCCCTGCAAGTTACAAGTAGAAATTTTGACCCTATTTTTCTTCCTTTCATCTGATTGGTCAATGTCAATCACAAATGTAACAATCCAATCAGAGAACAGATGGGTTTGGCTGTCGAGGGGCGCTTTTTTGAACTGCAGGTCTTTGAAGGGAATAAATGCCCTTTTACATGCCAACCCAGCGTTTTCCTTCATCACCACGAAGGAAAACAGTCTGTGGTCGTCCGAGTTTGGTGATTTTTGTGTCACAGGTTTCACCGCCAGAGCCTTTTCAACAGCGCTGCGGACCGCCGGGGGGGGGGGGGGGGGGGGGGAGTGTTTTGGAAATGACAGTCTTCATTACAAAGCTTTCTTCGTTATCAGTTAGCATACATGTTTTATTGAACATTTGAAGAACCAGCAAAAACAAAAACAGAAACTCTTGTAGAGGACATAAAGTCAGAGATAAAAACGACAAGGAGCAGGTGCATCTAGTACAGGTTCAAGGTTCAAGGTTCTTTATTTGTCAGATGCATAGTTATACAAGTATAACACGCAGTGAAATGTAGCCTGACACGCTCCTCGACATGTGCAAAAAATGGGGGGGGGGGGTAGAGGAAAAACATTATATAGATATTAGGGGTGCAACGATACACAAAATTCCCGGTTCGGTTCGATACTTTGGTGTCACGGTTCGATATTTTTTCGATACAAAAAAAATGTTCATGCCTTTTTAATTTGTCATTTATTAAAATTATAAATATATATTTTAACTCAAAAGTACAGTTTTTAAATTTAACCCTAACCCTTGTGCGTGTTTTTTATTTTGACAGCGAATGCGCACCTGCGGACCACTTATGTGCAGCCCTGGTTATTTAGCTCATCATATTGCAGCCACAGAAATTCTTTTGTCCATGAAACCATAAAGCTGCACTTTCTTTTTGCCTTATAGTCTGATTTGTCATAACTTCTCCGTTTTGTGGTAAGCTTTTCTTTGGCTGTCACTTCTTCACCCCGACCTGTCTTATTTGGCTCAGCAGAACTAAAATATATATCCTGCTGCTTTTACACACGCACTCACATAAGCTCAGCGATTCTCTGCGCGATCAACCTCTCACATGTTTAAGCTGCGGGAGATTTCACTTGTCATGTTTGCATAGTAAGCTAACGATTGATAAGACGATGTCAGAGGAATTGGTGCACAAATTATCATCACTCACAGATCAGTGCTGTCGCTCTCTATACACAGTTCGCGCGATTGCAAAGTGAAAGCAAAAAAACAAGCGCAAATTCAAACGCGATTACAATATGTCACATATTGACAGTGGCTCACCGATGCCAATGACATAATTACCCAGCTACATTTCTGAAAGAATGCAAAAGCATTGACATATATTTTTCCTTCCTACAATAGCCCGACGGGCAGGGAAGAGATAGATTTTGGTAGCCCGACTGAAAAAATCGCCGTTAACGAGCTACCGCCGATCGCCCGTGCATGGGGCTAGACGGCCAACACGTTAACGAGCTAACTGCGCTAACACACTAGTTCCCACCCATGTAATTGAGCATTGCATGGCACATCCAACATACTGTTTTACTTTAGTCCATGACTCGCTTACCTTCAGGGTCATACGTCACATGAAAACCAAAATAATTCCAAACGCCAGATCTGAATGTTGCAAGGAGAGCTTAACTTCTGTCTTGCTAGCTTGCCCTGCGCTCTTCCTTCTGACTATGCTGTCTGTGTTGAGCGCTCAGTGAATCTGCGCACGACAGTGCAGCCTAGGCGGAGTAGTCGAACGCAGATTCACTGAGCGCTCAACACAGACAGCATCGTCAGAAGGAAAGTTGATAAAATAAATTACAAATGTTGTATTGTTCGATACATATGCGTACCGAACCGAAAGCACTATATCGAACGGTTCAATATCGATACGAATATCGTTGCACCCCTAATATATATAGTATATACACTGGGTGAATGTGCAGTAGTAGCAGCAAGCAGGTGAATTCTGTACATTAATATGAATAGACATCTGACTATTTTACAGAATAGACAATATAAACATATTTAAAATTAAAGGAATTGAAATGTACATTGTGCCTTGGTTTAGTGTCTGGAAGAGTCCTGTCTCAGTCAATTATAGATGATGTGAGAGGGCGGGTGTGTGTGTTTAGGGCACGGATGGCTTGGGGATAGAAGCTCCTCTTGAGTCTCTCTGTCCTTGCCCGGAAGATGCGGAACCTTCTACCAGATTGCAGAAGTTGGAACAGTTTGTTGCCAGGATGGGACGGGTCCTTCAGTATCTGCGCTGCTCTAGTCCGGCATCTCCTGGTGTAGGTGTCCTGAAGCGGGGGGAGAGCAATCCTGCAGCAGCGTTCTGCTGTACGGATCACTCTCTGGAGAGCTTTTTGGTCCTTCACACAGCTGTTCCCGAACCACGATGTCATGTTCTGTGTGAGGATGCTCTCCACAGCGCCTGTATAGAAAATCCTGAGGATCTTTGGAGAGACCCTGAACTTCCGCAGTTGTCGTAGGTGATACAGGCGCTGCCTAGCCTTTTTGGTCTGGACCTGAATGTGGGCAGCCCATGTCAGGTCTGAGGAGATGTGGACACCAAGATACTTGAAGGACTGCACCCTCTCCACTGGAGCTCCATTGATGATAATGGGCTTGTAGTCTCTGTGCTGACTCCTTCTGAAGTCCACCACCAGCTCCTTGGTCTTGCTGACGTTCAGCTGGAGGTGGTTGTCCTGGCACCACGATGCCAGATTCTTCACGTCATCCATGTAGGCCGCCTCATCGTTGTTGGAGATGGCACCCAACACCACTGTGTCGTCAGCAAACTTCACAATGATGTTGGAGCCGTGGGTGGCCACACAGTCTGAAGTGTAGAGGGAGTAGAGCAGTGGCGAGAGGACACATCCCTGAGGTGCTCCTGTGTTGATGGTGATGCTGTTGGAGAAGCACCTGCCCACCCTCACCACCTGAGTTCTGCCAGTGAGGAAGTCCAACACCCATGCACACAGACGGCTGTTAAGTCCCAGATCCCTCAGCTTTGTGAACAGTCTGCAGGGCACTATTGTGTTAAACGCTGAACTGTAATCAACAAACAGCATTCGCACATAGTTACCCTGTTTCTTGTCCACGTGGCTGAGAGTGGTGTGTAGGACGTGGGCGATGGCATCCTCTGTGGATCTGTTGGATCTGTAGGCGAACTGCAGCGGATCTGTGGTGTCTGGGATGGAGGAGGAGATGATGTTCTTCAGCAGCCTCTCAAACACCTTCATTACTACCGAGGTCAGTGCAACTGGCCGGTAGTTGTTCAGGGATGAGGGTTTGCTGTTCTTGGGCACAGGGATGATGGTGGATCTTTTGAAGCATGTGGGGACCACAGGTAGAGCTGCTGCAAAAACCCACAGAGCTCAGCAGCAACAAATTCTGGATCCTTTGCTTTTAGTTAGCAGTTAGCATTAGCAGCACATCCTGCGTCTGATGTGAAAGGACTTTTATGCTGCACACTGTGACTCACAGCCATGGTCCCGGGTCAGCCCTGACTTTGTGTTAAACTAATCCTAAAGTAATAATGGTGTTTCTAACCACTGATGTACCACAACTTTATCCTTTCAACAGCTACTGGAAGTTAGGGGACCCAGCTGCTACCCTTCAAGGACCTGCAGTTCAAAAAAAGCGCCCCTCCGACAGCCAAACCCATCTGTTCTCTGATTGGATTGTTACATTTGTGATTGACATGACATTGACCAATCAGATGAAAGGAAGAAAAATAGGGTCAAAATTTATACTTGTAACTTGCAGGGTTTTTTTTTTGGCTAAGTCCACACACAAATCTTTTTTACACATACAAATCCTGATTTACAAGTACAAAATATTTATGACCACATTTTGAGCCCATAGAGTTTGTCTCCAAACAAACAACATCCTGTATATGGACACATTGATCAAAGAAAGTATGGAAATAAAGTATAAGCACATCTAAATATGGAACTGTTTGTCAAACATGATTTGGACACAAATTGGGGAATAATTGGCGTTTCAAATTTACATTATGAACGAACGAGCTTCAGGTGAACTCCCTGTTTTTGTTGAACTTGTACATTCAATAGAACAGCTCGCATCAGACTATTTTTCTGTACTGCACTCTATGTTTTTGCCCAGTGTTTGGGTTCTAAGTAGGTTTTAAAAAACCTAAATCAACAGCTTTTTAGTCTAAAGAAGTTCAGGAAATCCTTTTAAATGTATGACCTGACATCTTAGACACCACAAAAGACAACACAATACATGCTTTAAAGGATGGAGCAGTTCCCATAGTCAGGTGGGAAACAGGAGGGGATTGGCTCTTAATTATATTACAGTGACCCTATGACAGCAGTATAGGTGAGGTCCCCAACCCCGTCCCCACTGGGCGGTGCTGCCTGGCTGTCCCCGACACCCAGAGGTACCACAAAAGTAAAAGTCTAATGGAGCGCTTTCTGCTGTGCAGTGTGAGTCTGTTCTACACACTCCACGGCATGAAGGTTTGTTCTCTTCATGTAATCAGTCAAAGTGCAACAAATTAGTGCAATAAGTTGAACATTAAATATCTATATCATTCCTTTAAATGAACAGAGCTCCTTAAAATCTGCTGCAGGTGAGCCACTGATCACTGCACTAATTACAGCATAAAATGCACTTTGTGTCAAAATACTCATGAAGCTCAATGTTTTATTGGATGATGATAAGGTGTAAATGAGGACACTTACTCTCTGCCAGAGACGAGAACAGCATGCAGCTGAGTGAAAACAGGACCAGCAGCCCCCCTCGGGGGCGAGGGGACCCTGCCCGGTGAATATTACACACCATGTTACAAACTGTTTCTGCTCAGTCCCCTGCTGGCCACGTCCCAATATGTCAAGGTCAAAGACAAACACCTGAGACAGCAAACACATACAGAAGAGAGGTACACAGACATCAGCAAACAAACTTACCACATCTCTGCACACAGGCTGCTCAGAACATTAATGGAGGAGCCAGAGAGTTGATTCTGTTCTAACTTCTATTCTGTATGTTGTGTTTTCAGTGGGAGAAACATTTAACTTACCTATGTGACTTCTTCAGCCTTAGAGACTGAAAATGCAACATCAACGTGCAAAGAATCAACTTTCCGGGCTTTCCTTCCCTCTGTGACTGAGCATGTGTCAGGACACTGAGGCAAGCATCAGTTCAGAGACATAAACCACTATGAATCCATTTCAGCTGCATTGGTGCAAATTAGGGCAACAACATGTATACTGAGAAGACAAGAGCAAGGCAAAGCCCCATAGTGGTAACACTCTGCTCTTATCCCTCCTCCTGACTTTTCTCTGGTTTACTTTTTGTTATTGTCCTCCTCTCTGCTGATGGCATGAGACAGTATCTGCAGCAGATTCAAGCTCCACAGGTTTTCTGCAGGGAGGAAGAGGAGGAGCGTTGCCAGAGCCCTACAAAGTGACCTCCACCTACTGAAGCTACTGAGGCATGTTTCTGAGGGTACTCAGGTCTATACTGAGGAAACGTGACAGACATGAAGGAGTCTGGAGGCACAAACATGACCAGTTTCGTGGTGGTAAGTGATGGCCTGGGGAAAGGAATGGTTGTGTTAGGCTGTGGAAGAAGATCTCAGAGCATCTTTGTGACCTCAAAGAGTGAAATGGAAATCAGTGATTTTGATTCTGACTATATATTTCTTTCGTTTGTGTAAATTTTGGACTCTGTTCTCTCATTGATCACACTCAGCATACCATCAGGTGTCTCACTCTCTGTGCAGGTGGAGAGAGCAGAGCTGTCACGATGCCAGAAATGTGGTAATCACAGAATTACACAAGACACCAAACCTGACTTTCACATGATGATCACAGGTACATAAGCATCAGGTTATTTAAGTCTTTTTAAATCACTGCTGCATTTATTTCAATATTTTCTCTATCAATAATTTTGTGGCAGAAACATTTTTGTCACATTTTTGTCAAAATGTTTAACACAAAAAGTCTTTATACTTCAGAGAAGTTTTAAATTTTCTGATTATAATTTGGGACACAGATGTTGAAATAATGCGGATACTGGTCAAAGCAGCCGTTTCTTTCTGTAAAACCAAACACACAGAAACTATCATATAACACTGTCAGCTGTGATTATGCTAGAAACTGCCAACACATGTTCATCCACACTGTGATTGTTCGGTCATTAAAATGTTAAAGTTAAAATTTTCCTGTTAGTAAAAGTTCTGGTTATAAACGCGTCATGTGTTTGATCCCAGAGGAGAAGCTGTATATGTTTAGAAAAGCATAAAACATGTAACTGTTAACAGTTTAAATCATTTTATAAATATTTGCATGTAAAACAAACAAATGTCAACATTGTATATAAATACAAAACTAAACTCGATGAGAACATTCAGGAACGATAACGGTGAACTTACTGAATCTCCTTTTTGTCTCCTTCTCTCAAAGTGTTTCGTTCTGTATTTATTTTTCAGGGAGTCCAACAACCTACTTTATGTAAGCAAACAGGAGTCAGGTGACCTGGTAACGGGCAGACGTGGGCGTGGCTAATTGTCCCAGTGTAACAGCTGATATTTGCTTACATAGTCCATTTTCCTCTAACAGCAGCACAGAGCTGCCAGCATGTTTAATGATTGACAAGATTAAAGACAAAACGTTGCTGTGATCAGTTCACGATAAATCTGATAAATAACTGCTTTAATATAAGTTTGGTCAAGTTGTTCTGGTGTGTATAACTGTGCTCCTCTTATAGAGAACAAATGTGAGATGTTGATTCCTGCCAGCAGAAACCAGCACAGGCTGCTTCATGTGGACTGGAACTAATAACTGCTTTGATATTAGTTCGGGGGAGTTGTTCACAGTCTAAAAAGTAATTCAGAGGCTTAGTAAATATCACGATGAATAGAAGTTTTTTTTTTTTTTTTTTTTTTTTGAAGTGACATCAGAAACAGCAGCATGTGACATCACGTGATGGCGGAGCTTCAGTTCATCCTTTGTCATCTTTTTTTTTTTTTTTTTAATAGGACAGGGGGAAAGAATGAAAGAAAGAGGGGGAGAGGAAGAAAGAAAACCAAAGGGGAGAAGAGACGGTGAGAAGGGGGGGGAAGAGAGAGAGAGAAAAAAAAAAAAAAAAAAAAAACACAAAAAACTCCTGGGTCACCTGTATGGAGAGAAAGAAAAACAAAAAAAACAGGGGAGACAGCAAACAACAAAGAGCAACATAAAAAAAAAAAAAAAAAAAAAGCACCATCACAATAAACTAGCTAGTCATAGATATCAATAGTTACTAAATAATAAACGATATTGTTCAGCACGCAAGATAGACAGCGCACAGTGTGCTTTGAGGCAGCAGCCAAGAAAGCTGTAGTCCGCATCTGTGAATACCCATGTGTACACCTGTGTGCACACCTGTGTGGATCAGCATGCTTGCATTCCAAAGGTTTCTCCATGTAATGATCTGCTAGAGAGTGTGGGGAGCCACAGCCCTGTCCTCTATGGTATCAAGCAGGTATGGAGGAGATCAAAACTCCAGACATCCAGAGGCCCCCAGAACACAAGAGATGAATATAAGTTAGATGAGCCTGATAAAATCTATGAATATCCTTTTAGTAATTATTTGAGTTTGATCAATTAAAATAAATGTCTAGAATTTCAACTTGTGTGTTTGTGTGAAATTAAGGTATTTATTTACATTTATTGCAGACGAAAAAATCAGTATTTGGTTCACAGAACACCTTTTTTGCATATACTTAATATTTTTGTTTGAAATTGAATCTAAATATTTGAGAAATAGGTATCTATACTTATCAGTATCTTGGACTAAAATCATTAATTATTCAAATCAATATTTTTTATTGTCAGCAACAGAGATGGGCAGTAACGCGTTACTTGTAACGCGTTACTGTAATCTGATTACTTTTTTCAAGTAACGAGTAAAGTAAGGGATTACTATTGCAAAATCGGTAATTAGATTACCGTTACTTTCCCGTAGGAACGCTGCGTTACTGCGTTACTAAAACCGTGATTTTTTTTGCGAGAATGTCTCATGACAGTGACGTAAGCAAGTGCGACGTTGGTGACAGCAGCTGTGTGCAGATCAACAATGGATAATATATCGAGTGCGGGAGAGAGTATGAGCGTGCAGCGTTTAAAGTGTGGAAGTACTGACCTTACTTTGAGTTTGATTCCATAAAAAGTGACAAAAACATTAGCGTCCATCGTGCGTGGGAAGAAAACTTCTTTTTACAGCGAAAAAAAACCCTAAACTTCCGAGCAAGCACCGAGTAGCTACGACGTGATGGGAAACTCAGAGAGACACTCGCGCGGATTCTTCAACTGACCACAGCACACCTACACCAGGGTAACCCTCCGCCTACCCTGCTCCTGCTTTACAGGTGAAAATAGAGCAAAAGGACCGCTGAGTCTTTGACTTTATTTATTTTCTGCTGTGTTTTACTTGCATCTGTTTGAAAGAGTGAGTGAAAACACAAAAAATATTTTATTTTATGTGCTGGAATGTGTAGAAAATAGGTTTAAATGTTAAACTAATTTATTCAAGTCAGAGAATGTTGCATATAATTAAATGTTTTGCTTGATGCATAAAGTTAAAAGATTAAAACTGATAAAACAAGTTAAAAAAAGAGACTTTTCCATTTGATTACATTTTGTATGATGGATTATGTAGAAAAAGTAGAATTGGGCTGAAAGATCTATCACTTTATCACCTCTTCAGGTTGTAAATCGTGTTTTTAAAAAGTAACTAAGTAACTAAGTAACTAAGTAATTAATTACTTTTGAAAATAAGTAATCAGTAAAGTAACAGGATTACTTTTTGGGGGGAGTAATCAGTAATTAATTACTGATTACTTTTTTCAAGTAACTTGACCAACACTGATCAGCAACTACAACTTAAAAGTGTAAGTAAAACACGATAACATAGAGTAATTGAGTATTAGTGCGCGGCACGCATAGCCTCACGGGAAAGTTTTCATTTCATCACAACAGCCGTCAGCAGACACAAACTCACGGGGGAACCACCTGGAAAAGTTGCCTCCCATTCTGCTTTTAAATACTCGAGGAACAAGAAGTAGGCCTGCAGTGTGAGAGCGAAGTGCTCTAACAGGGTGATATGGTACTACAAGGTCATTAAGATAAGATGGGGCCTGATTTTTGTCAACAAACTTTTCTGCCCATTAAGCTTTTCCTATGTGAGCTGTTTCTCAGGTGATGAACTCAGAGAATCATTCTTTAAGCAGAGCTCATGCTTGTATTTGTCATTGTGTTATTAAAGTGAAAAGGCAAAGTTAATCGTGTGTAGGTCTGTCTGATGCTTCACTCACATCTGATATTTTGTGTCACAGAGGTAGTTGTGACAGTAGTTCATTCTTTAGCGAGCTCATTGCTTTTACCCATTAGATGTTTCGTGCGTAACACCTTGGTAAGGACACATTTTTACTGGCCATCAGTTGGGACTGAAACAGTTGATATTCATTTCCAGATTTTCAGCTGGTGGCATGACTTTCCATAGCTTTTCTCTTTCTTTGCAGGTTCAATATTTTTTCTGTGTCATTTCTCATCATTACATATAACTTAATTTATCGACATTTATGGTTCGATTTCTTTGAAAATCCAACAAGCTAATTCAATTTATGGGAGATGCAAAGTTGGAAGAACACATTCATCATTTCCATTAAATTCATTATTTCTAACTCTGATAATGTCAGTATGTCCAGTTTATTTGCTAATTTTCCTGTTCATACTAATTTCATCAGTTTTCACACTGAATTTTTCAAGTGATCCCAAATATTGATGAAGAACTATAAATGTAGTTTCTCTCTAGATAGATAGATAGATAGATAGATAGATAGATAGATAGATAGATAGATAGATAGATTCTCATCCATTTTCCACTCATGCCTTTTTGTTCTGAGCACAGGGGCCTACACCCTGTTACCCTTACTGCATGCATGTAATTCAATGTGAGGGTTTTTTTTCTCCCACACGCTGTGAATGCATCATTAATCCCGTCCCTCCCAATCGGAAACATTTTCTATCTGGCGCACTGGCACCATAAGTGTTTTTATTCTACCAGATAGGGAAAATATGGTGACAGCGGGAGTTGCAGGCAAGTTAGGGATTGAGACTCACTGTCGTTTGGATTTCACAAGGAGGAAGTCGAAAAAGTTTTGGTAATTTGACAACTATTGCTGCTAAAGGTAGCAATACCACAGATTTATTCCACCAGCGGAAGAGTCATCTACTGCTAATGAAGACAATTGTAAACATTAACGTGTTCAACGTCTCCCCGCACACCAAAGGAAACATTAAATAAACGAGCTGTGATACCTGTGACTGTTCCACGTCAGTCGGTTTGATAGTCACTGTCTAGACTTCTATTTCTGTAATTTGAGGTCAGAAGAGGTTTTTTCATTTCTTTTTTTTTTACAATTTTACATGTTATAAGCACAAACGAGCACCTTTGTAATTTCAGTTGTTTTCGTTTGTCTCGTCTACCTTGAGGTCCACTTTTGTTGCTATAGTTTGTGTTTGTTAGTGTCGACCACAGAGAGAGTTTACTGTCAGGTGTTGACATTGGTGAAAAACGTCTGTGAGCAACTGATGGTTAAAAGTGGTTATAATAAAAATGTTCAATTCATTCAGATATTTCTGTATTCAAAGCAAAAAATGGTTGATGTGAATGAGTGTACCAATTTTAGACACGATATGGTTGAAACTAAAACTTGTTATTGGAGCTTATTTAAACATACCGTGATATATATCGTGTATTGTGATATAGCCAAAAAATATTGTGATATTAGATTTTCCTCATATCGCCCGGCCGTACACAGGAGCCCTCAAGCTCCCAGATTAAAGACCGCCCCGGGGCAAGTGGGGAGTGCAGACTGAAGGCCTTATTTTATTCTCTAAACTACATTTACATCTCTGTGGTGAAAACATGACACAAACACACACTACAAACTTCAGTAACAACTCAAAAAACAGATATAACAAAGAGCAAAGCACTCCCCCAGGTTTTGGGGTGTTTTTTCCATATCTTTTACCGCAGGCACGCAGTAAAAGATCAAGTGCTCGGGGCCTTCAGCGGCTCTCACTTTTATTCATTTAAATTTCTAAAATGTTCCATCTTGGAAAAACAGACTTTTCAGTCTTTGTTTATCAGCATCAGTGGGTCCGACTCACTTGTATTAACACATTATCTCGTGCTACTGTCTGAATGTCATAACCTATTAAAAACCCACACAAAGCCAAACATGTGGGCATGAAAAAAATCACTTTGTTGTCCCACACAAAATATCACAAACAATGTTCGACTCATAATGTTGATGACTTGAAATATCCACAAGCTGTTTTATATAAAGGGCAATAATGTGTCATACAGTGCAGGTCAACATCATATTCTAGTGTCGATCATTTTTCCCCTGAGCTCATATTTCTATTTCAATTCAAAACACCTTAATTCCAGCTGTGTTTCAGCTAGAAGTATGTCCTTTTTTTTTTTTTTGGCCTGTCCCATTTGGTTCTTTAGCCATCAGAATTGTTGTCTGAAGACCAACAAGGAGACCCAATGGATTTACTTTGCCAAATGGATCATCGTGGCATTGCCGTATTGGTCCATTTGGTCGATCTTTGTTTTTATTATTTATTATATTTTATTTTCAGATGTTACAGACGGGACAGACATGAGTGAGGGATAGGAAAGGGAGAAAGAAAGAGGAAGGAAAGGAAAAACAGAAGGGGAGAGGGACAGTGAGAAAGGGGGGGAGAAAAAAAAATAAAAATCTCCTGGATCACCTGTTGAGAGAAGAATAGAAAACAAGCAAAAAAACAAAAAAAACAAAGCAACATACTAAACACAACACCATCGCATTAATCTAGCTAAGTGTAAACAGCAGTAAATACTAAATATTCAATGTTGTTGTGCAGCACGCAGGACAGATGTGCTTCGAAGTAGCAGCCAAGAAAGGTGTAATTTAAGTCTACGAGCAGTGAACACCCGTGTGCACACCTGTGTGGATCAGCGTGCTTGTATTCCAAAGGTTTCTCCATGTAACGATCTGCTAGGGAGTGTGGGGAGGGGCATAGCCCCGTCCTCCAGGGCATGAAGCAGGTATGGAGGAGATCAAAACTCCAGACATCCAGAGGCCCCCAGAACACAAGAGACCAAGGAAGACCAACAGAGGGGCAGCCTTGTTTTATATAAAGGGCAATAATGTGTCATACAGTGCAGGTCAACATCATATTCTAGTGTCGATCATTTTTCCCCTGAGCTCATATTTCTATTTCAATTCAAAACACCTTAATTCCAGCTGTTTTTCAGCTAGAAGTATGTCCACAAAACACCAAACAGTATCTATACTTTTTGTTTATCCCTAAAGTGCTCTGAGGAAAAAGAGAAAAAAATGAATTCAAATTGAATTTTTTTTTTAAAACTTTCATCCAAAAAAAATCATTGAATCGCTGAAAATCGTCTCTTTTATTAGTGATTACAGGATATTTATGTTTCCTCCTCTGGTCCAGTTCTCCTGGAAAAGACAGAAGAAGAACGGCGGAGAAGCGGAGGAGCTGCCCCCTGCTGAGGGAGAGCAGCTGGAGCTCAGAGAGGCGGGACGCACCATTGCCATCAGGATGGTTGATGGGAGCCATTCTGACACATATAAATACAGCTGCTGGGTGAAGCACGAGGGGGGCACAGTGGAGGCCCGAACACAACAAGGTAATGAAGGCTTGGTGACTGTGTTCAGCAGTGATTCAGCTTCATGTGGAGATGCTGTCAAAGAGAGCAGAGCAGCAGAGGACTGACATTTCTCACTGCAGCTCCAAACATTTGACTCCTTTTCTGTTTCAGAGCTTCCAGCTCCAGCAGCCTCCTGTCCTCCAGAGAGAGAGCCAGCAGACCTGCCAGCTCTGCAGCCAGCTGACTGTAAGATCACCTGCTGCCTCTCTGCATGGACAGCTCCAATGTCCAATGAGGCAGCTGGAACAAGTTTAGGCTCTTAAAGTTGCACTAATTGATCAAATCTTCATCCAACAAGCTCTGATAAAGCCACTGTACACTAGCTGCTCAGCACCAAACAGCAGACAGACCATAATATGTCAGAGATCAGTTTGTTAGCTGCTTGTGGAGTTCTTCTGCCCCCAAGTGGACACAAACACTACATCAATTCATCCACTTGAAGAAGAAGCTGTGACTGTTTCTATTTGGACTTTTTCTCCTTGATCTGAGAGGAATAACCCGACTGTCTGTCTGTCTCTTTGTGTCTGTCTGTCCTTCAGTGTCCTTCCAGTCTCAGTGCAGGGTGAAGCTGCTCTGCCTGCTGTACACAGTGCTGATAGTGAAGAGTCTGGTGTACTGCTGTGGACTCTCTCTGCTGATGATGCTCACAAACAAGGGAGCGTCCACCAACTGCACACATGCTGACTGACTGTTTCCTGCTCGCCTTTTCTCACCATCACATCTCATCAATTCATCTCATTCATCACTTTGATCACAAATGTTAGTTATGATGTGTTGAGCTTATTTTGCCTTTTTCTTCAACAGTTAGAAGATCGTCTGAAATAAATACATCTTTACATGTATTGTTGCTCTGAGTTAGAATTCTTTTTGTGCTTATTGTGACTTTTATTGTAGTAACAAAAACCATCAGGAATATTTTTATCACAAGTTTTTGTTTGATTTTCAAATGTCAAACAGTGTAGTTGTGTTTGTGTGAACAATAAAGATTTGAAGATGAAGAGTTTAATTCTACTTTCATTGTGTGATCAACAACAACCCGTGTGAGTGAAGCACAAACTGACTGTATCCAAACTTGCTCTCCTGCAGCAGACGGGCTGTGTGGGTTTCTGCTCTGCAGCCTCCACACCGTTAGCTGTGGCTTTCACTTTAATAACACAATGACAGTTACAAGCAGGAACTCTGCTTCAAGAATGATTCCAGGAAGGATCTGTGTTCTTCACCTGTGAGAGAAACAGCTCAAATCCTCAACTCACAGCTGACAAATGAACTTTAATGGAATCAAAGGAGAGACCATGAAGCCCCTGCAGTCTGCTCAGCTCCCATTTTATTACCTGAGCTGAGTTTTTCATTCTGGATATCACACACGTAAGAACAGATCAAGTCTGAACAGCAAATGTTGGAGAATCATTTTGAAGTCTTGCTAAATGTCGTTATTATTACAAAAACTACTGAATGATTCAGAAAATCCTTTCCAACAAGCAGAAATATGCAAACAAAGTAGAAACAAGGCAACATGAGTCATTCAGATGCAGATAACATATTCTCCTTATTGTGAAGAACACAGTCATGAAATCTTTCTGTGTGTCATTCATTGAGTTGAAGTGCCTAATAGAAGAGGAAGAGCAGCAATAATCAATGATAGCTGAGACATTGAGAACATGGCTGTATGCCTGCTATCATAACAGCAAACAAAGCACACAAACAGCAAACACACAATAATGTGCTCGCAGCTTGTTGTGTGTTGTGTCATTTTTGACATTTCATGAAGTCACAAAAATGTGTGCGACTCATTAAAGGAGTGTGTACGTGTCAGTCAGTGCTCTGTATTCATGTGTTCACCTCATTAAAGTCACTCAGACACTTTTCTCCTCCAAACTTACAGCACAGCTTCATATTTCACTGACTGATTCTTTCATTACATCCATTAAGGGTCACACAGTGAAATTAGTGCAAACTTACAAATGTGTTGCAACAATTTTGGCCTCCAAACTGAACTTTGAGACAAACAGTGAAGCTGTGAGCAAAAAGAGGCTCCAGTGTGTGTCATGGTGGAGGAAACTGTTGTATTCCCACATTCAAAACATGCTGATCTTATTGGATTTGTCCCTCAAAGTCTTTTTCCTCCTTTTTCTCTTCATCCAAATGTTCTAGCAGGCTGACTGTGAGTCCCTGTTGAACCTGTACAGCAGAAAGTAACAGCAGTCAGCGGCCTCCACTTGACTTCATGACTTCAACGCCTCGCACAGTCACTTTCACTTTCTTCCTTCTGTCTTTTAGTCCTAAAATGTAGAACAACACCAGATCCAAATATTTGTGTCCTTCACTCACATCTTCAAATGATCCCTTCCATATCAGAGATGATACAAAGGCAACATTTGTCTTATTTCTCTTTCAGGAATCAAAAAGTACTTTTGTACTGTTGTGTAAATGTGTGTGTAAAGGTGGATGACTGCCTGCTGCAGATGAAATCTAACCATGGCTACAAATAAATGAAGCTGACGTGAAACACAGCCCTGTTTTTATTACTGTTTATAGATATTAGAATTGATGATCATCATTTTAATGATTCTTAAAAAGGCTTTAATGAATCCTTCAGTCTGAAACCAACTTGGAACAAAACACATTAGAAGATGTGGGAAAGAACCACAGTGTGCACATATTTAAACACACAACAGAACCACAGTGTGCACATATTTAAACACACAACAGAACCACAGTGTGCACATATTTAAACACACAACAGAACCACAGTGTGCACATATTTAAACACACAACAGAACCACAGTGTGCACATATTTAAACACACAACAGAACCACAGTGTGCACATATTTAAACACACAACAGAACCACAGTGTGCACATATTTAAACACACAACAGAACCACAGTGTGCACATATTTAAACACACAACAGAACCACATGTGTTTGTTTCAAATAAGATTTTTACTCTAAATGTTGTTATATATGATTTTATTTTTTTAACTACTTTGAGTGCAATTTATGAACTTTTAAAATATTTAACCATATTATTTTTTTAGATTTTTCTATTTATTTATAGTTTCATTATATTTAGTGTTTTCATCACAGCTGTTAAACCACAGATAACAGTGTGTGTTAGTAAATTCACAGCAACATGAATGTTTCTGAGTGTTTGTGCATCATGTGACCCAGATTTTTGGATCTGCTGTCAGATTGAAATGAAGACGATGAAACCACAGCAGCTTCAGCTGAGCTGTCAATCAGCAGCAGCAGTCTTATCTGTGGGCCGCAGGGGCTGATGGGAGCTTTGAGGACCTGTTAGAAACCACGTGGCCCTCGTCTGATCTCACAGCTCGTCCTTGTTTGGCCTCAGCTGCATCAGAGCGCCACTTCTCCCCAGGTTCACCAGAGGAAACACCACTGCACAAAATGCTTTTCCTCCCAGCTGCTGCTCTGTGCTGTCTGTGTTCAGGTGAGTGTTTCCAGCCAATCAGGAGCCAACAAAGTCAACCTGTAACAAACACTGTCACACTAACCTTCATCTATCTGTCTGTGTCTCTACAGCACTGGTTACCATGGCAGCAGAACAGCTGATTCAGGATGATTTAACATTGACCAGGAGAGTTGGACAAAGTGTCTCCTTCAGCTGTGGAGGGACTGAACAGTGTGATAATTCTGGATGGCTATACTGGCTGCAGAAGAAAATAACATTCACACAGATTCTTAATATTAACAAAAACACAGGTGAAATTCAATCAGCTTTCAAACATCCTCAGATTGATGATTTCTCAGTTGAGAATAAGGTGAGAAGTTCTGAGTTGAAACTAGAAGAAGTTAAACTCAACCATTCAGCCACCTACTACTGCATGTGTGCAAAGAAAGCTCCCCACAGTGAGAAATGATCCCTGCAGCCTGAACAAAAACCAACAGATGAACAGATGTCAAACAGTGTCTGTGACAGGAAGAGAGCAGTAAACCACAGCCCAGCTTCACATGTTTCACCTCCATCTCAGAGTCACAAACATACTGAGCTCAGATTTTTATTTACTGAGATACTTGTAAATAAACAAAAGAGCCAGTTTGTGGCCTTTTTGAAAAAGCAAAATGTTTTAGAGTTTTTACAATCTGGTTTTAAGTCCTTTCATTGCACTAAATCCGCCCTTTTAAAAGTTTGTAATCACATATTTTTAGCTACTGATGCTCGTGACTGTGTTGTTCTTGTCCTTTTAAATTTGACAGCTACATTTGAAACAGCCAGTTATGCTATTTTAATCTCTCGTTTGGAGCAGTGGTGGGCATTGAAGGCGCTGCACTGGAGTGGTTCACGTCCTACTTGGCGGAGCGAGATTTTGTGTCAGTCTCTGTGACCATGTATCATGCTGTGCTCCCCTCTTGTGTGGTGTCCCACTGGGCTCAGTTCTAAGCAGCCTCCTCCTTTGTTAGTATCTGCTCCCTCTTGCTTTATACTGAGAAAACAGGTCATTGCTGAAGACTGTCAGATCTATCCTGTACAGCCATTATCCAGTGTGTTGATGACATTAAAGCTTGGATGTCTCTTAACTTTTTAAAATTCAATGAAAAAAGACTGAGGTGATGGTTTTGGTAGCCCGACTGAGACCCCCAATCTGTATTTAGATACCTTGGCCCAGTATGTTAAGCCAACTGTCACAAACCTGGGGTCAAAGTGGACTCTGAACTGAAGCTTGACAGCCAGATTAAGTAAAATCAAGCTTCTCTCAGCTCAGACAAAGGGCAAAATTAAAGCCAATTCTTTAACAACAGCACTTTGAGACAGTTATCCACACCTTTGTTAGCACTCGGCTGGATTATTGTAATGCACTTCATACAGTGCGTCATACGTTACTCATCTACAGAGGGTGAAAAATGCCACAGCTCATCTTTTAACTGGCACTCGAAAGTTTGAGCACATTTCCCCTATTATAGTTTCACTTCACTGGCTGCCCATTTCTTCTAGGACTCATTTTAAAATTCTTTGATTTGCTTTTAAAGCTCTCCATGGTCTAGCCCCATCGTATCTCTCTGAGCTGCTACAGCCATATACACCCACCCACTCTCTGATCAGCTCTCCTGAGGACTGAGTGATAACTTAGAGGAGATTATGCTTTTGCTGTAGCAGCTCCAAAACTGTGGATTGATCTGCCTTATTAGACAGGTCTCTTCTCTGCCTGTTTTTAAATCACTCCTGAAAGCCCCCCTCTTCACCCTGGCCTTTGACACCTTTTGAGATGTTGGTTTTATTTTATGCTTATTTCTGTTGTTGTTTTAATTGATTGTATGTTTTATTTATTTATTTATTTATTTATTTATTTATTTATTTATTCTTTGCAGTTTCATTTTATCTATTGTTCTTAACTTATTAACTGTGCAGAACTTTGGTCATGTGCTATTTTAAAGTGCTTTATAAATAAAGTTGTATTTGGATTTACTGCTGTCAGAAATGCAATTCTAATTATTTCTGTTTTGAACAGATTTTCATCCTGTTTTAAGACAGAAACAAGAGGAACAGATGACATCAAACTTCCAAATGTAAACAAATGTATCCTCAGTCCCACAAAAACATTTATTCAAAGTGAAAGAAAAACAGATTGTGTCAAGAAACTGAACTCAAATCCCAGAGTAAGTCGGTGCTGCTACTATCAGTCAATGCTACTTCCAGATCGATAGAATCAACTTTTAGGATGCAGCACCTTTGCATCCCGATCAGAGTGAACTTTTCATTTTTCATCAGCTGGACGAAGATCTGTAGTTTATTCATGATCATAAAACTGAAAACAGTCAGTGGAACTGGCTCTTCAGTATCTACATGTTCATCTCCCTTTTTATGACTACAGCTCACCTTCAATAATCACTATATTGGATAATGATGAACTACATACACTGCTCTGAGTTGTTCCATTTTCTACTTTATGTTTATTAGAATAGATATTTCCAGCTCTGACTTCTAATGTTCTTCTGAACAGGAACTCTAATAGTTGCACAGTTCACCCCCTATACCCAAGTTATTTAGCTCATGTATCTAATCTGACTCTAATTTTGACTCTAATCTAACGTTTGATAAACAGATTAATGCAGTGATCAAGTTGAGTTTCTTCCATCTTCAGCTACTTGCTAAAGTGAAGCCATTTCCCTGTTTTAGAGACTTTGAGAGAGCTATCCACGTCTTCATGTCATTGTAAAGGTTAACATATGTGTTTAAGTTGAAATGTGTGGCTGGTAAATCTGGATTACACTAATAGTTCAAAAGTTAAGAGATAAAAAGACTTATGGGGATGTTAGTTCAGTTTATGTCTTCATACAAGGAAAAAAGGGAACACCCCAGTTATATTTTAGTCTTTGGTATATCGTTCAGTGTTGATTCAGTATTTTGTAATTACACTTTACATCTTCCATGGCATTACTTAAAAAATACCACTAGGTTGCGCATAGCGGCCAGGAGGAGCGTAAACCCCCTGGGAGGCAAATCTGCAGAATAAATCCTGCAGTTGAATCGTAAACAAGTTCATGATCTGTGCCTCTTTATTTCAATACACAGGTGGGTTACTAGTCCTCAAAATGACTAATAGGTAACACAGTAGAAGCACTAAGACTGTTGTGAACTCGTGAATGAAAGTATACCGTTATAAGTTAAGTACTGTTGAAGTATTGTGTTTTGAGTGAGATCGTGATGTGAACGTGATCGTGCTAGGCTAATGGACTGGCTAGCGGGGGAAGTGAGCTTCAAGTACCGTAGCGATGCTAAGGCACGTTCTCAGTTGTGTGTTCTCTATATGTCTTGTTGAAGTAAGACAGGATGCAAAGGCTGTAACTAATGCTTGCATAGCTGCTCATGTGCTGTATATGAATGGTTATTTGCTATTCACGGGCTGTGAGTTACAGTACATTGTTATTTCTTGATGCAGTGATATGTATGTGTAACAGGAACAAAGGCTGAGGCAACCTGGTCACTGCGAGCCAATGTTATCTATATTTATGATGGTTAATGTATACTCGCCAAAGTTATTCCTGTACTTTTGACAATACGCTGACAGCTGTTATGCCACACGTTACAAAGAATTGCTGGTTCTTATGAGAGGCGATTAATGACTTGTTCCCCTGTTGATGAGCAGAATAAATCCTGCAGTTGAATCATGTTGAGAGATTTTTGAGTTTTGTGTTATGTTTATTTGTAGCTTCATTTAAAGGAAGAAGAGCTTGTGAATTGGAAACACCACAGGAAAAGGGAGTGAGACCATATGTGCAGAAAAAATGCTGTGACATACCAAGCTACCTCCTGTGTCAACAGACAAGCTAAAGGTCTCTCCTTTTAAGGAGATGTTTATTGATTCTGAACATGCCACACCTACTGCTGTGAAAGCTTACTTGAAGTATAAATAAAGATTGTGCTGGGAGCCCCGCACAATTCCTCTGTGACACACACACAGTGCACACGTTGGTGCAGTGTCGGGGCATCGTCCATGCGCATGTAAAAAGATATCTGAGTCTGAGTTTCTTTGCCTTCTAAAAATTTTCTCCTCACAAAATCGTAAACAACTTCATGATCTGTGCCTCTTTATTTCAAAACACAGCTGCGGGATCTAGGATCGCACCCCTCCAGGGACCTGTCACACCAGGGGGGCAACAATCGTGGGGCTCGTCCGGGATTAGTACCTCCTCTTGACGGCAGCTAATCATAAAGTAATAAACTAAGACCAAATGCTACGCCTGCTCCATCTGAGGTACCAGAATGGCGGCTGTGCAGGTGCTGCGACGAGGAATACAGAGAAAGCTTCATGAGCTTATTAACACTGCTAAGACACAGGTGTTGTACAAGCTTGTAGACACCATCAAGCATGAGGTGGAAGATGACTACCAGGAGATGATGCAACAGAGGTGGAACTCTATGACTTCATTGTGGACTTTTTTGAAAAGTGGCAAGTCAGGAGGACCAAGGCATGTCTCGCCTGCTAGTATTCAACGACTTCATCACTGACCTGCAACGACCTCCGGTGGCAGCAGATGAGGACTGTGAGCTGGGTGCAGAAACAGACTCTGTGGTAACACCTTCAGTAGTTAGTGTGAAGGCAGATAGAACCTGCATGGTAACCAGTCCAGTAACTGATGTTATAAAACTGGCAGATGTTGCGGCGCTCCTGCCTCGTAGAGATTCAAGCTCCACAGTGGACAGATTTCTGAACTCAGATTCAGGATGTAGTTATAGCTCTCTGTGTATACAGATTGATGAAGGGCTAGCTGAGAATTTTACAGAAGCAGAGATAATCCGAACTGTCCTAAAGATAATTAAACCAGGTACATTTAAGGATATGCTAATGACAAAACCTGGATTAACGGTGGCTGAGCTCAAACGGTTCCTCAGAGCACACCTGAGAGACAAGAGCAGTGCAGAGCTATTTCAGGAGCTTAGCAATGCTAAACAACAGGACAGAGAAAGTCCACATCAGTACATGTAATGGGGGTAAAACAGCGTGTGATGTTTGCTTCTCAGCAGAGTAGCTCAGAGTTCCAATATACCAGTCAACTGATTCAAGGAGTATTTCTTCACTCATTGTATCAGGGAATGAGTGAGAAATAGGCTCATGTCCGAAGAGACCTAAGGCCTCTCATTTCTAACATGAGTTGTGCTAATGACTTTATCCTAGAGATAATGACTAAGTCAGTTAGTGAAGAAGTTGAGAGACAGACTCGCCTAGGTCAGACACAGAAAGCAAAAGCAGTCACAGTTAGTGCCATGCAGCAGGGTGAAAGACAACCCGCAGCTCAGCCTCCAGCCGAGGTCCAAGCCACCGTCCTGCAAACCCAAACTGAAGTCCAGGCACAACGAGCAGCCCTACATGAACTAACAGCACAGGTGTCTGTTTTGGCCAAGGCTATTG